AGAAAGGGATATTAATATAATCCATTTTTAATTGTTAATTAGTTCGTTTTCAACCTTCTAGAGTGTGCAGAATGTCACTCTAAGAGGAAATCTGGCCAACTCCAGCAAAATCGTGACCAACCTTACTATGGCCAGTAGATAGGAGGAAATATAACAACTGTAAGAAATATTAAAATGCTTATTTGTATACATATGATCTTATATTTTGACACATTGTCATATATTTACATTGAATATGTATGCATGCATTTATACAACTTGAAAAATTCATGTGGCTATCTATATGTACGGCATTACAGCTTTAAACAAACTATAAAGCCTGCATGCATATATATATATATAAATGTATATATATAAATGTAAATACTAGCCAATATACATTGCTTGTGTATAACTCATGCGATTACAAAATCCAGTCCACGTACCATTCTAGTATAGTTCAGTAGTCCCTGCAATCCAGTGTTTACAAACTCCCCATACAGCTACAGGGTATATAAATATAGTACATTTTACAAGCACATAGATAACATGTGGTATGTTGATCACCATGCATCATAGTGATCATACATACAGTATCATAGCATTGTGGCAATGATATTAGGAGCAATAGCCATTCAATCTGCATGAAGCCAACCCAAAGGTTGTCATTGTTTCCATACAGAGCATCGTAACTACGTATTTCATTAAACTAAACTGTTTCAAATAGGACAGTATAGTTATTATACAAGACATATTATTGACATTATTTCCTCAAGCTACAAATTCCTATTTTGACTCCATGTCTAAAAGCTGTAATATTTAGGAGAGTCAAAATAGGCACTTGTAGCTTGATGTAAACACTATGTCTCAAAATCTAAGCTTGTTTGTTTACTGTTTTGGCGATTGCATTTTCACTTTAATCTACCTATCATGTTTCTGTATTATTTTGAAGGTCCCTATTTCCTTCTTTTAAGTTCACAATATTTAATAATCTTGTATATATATATATATATATATATATATGTTGGCATAGTTAGGAGTCATCTTGGTACCAATTGCAATACCATTAATTTGAAGCTAATATTTGTTGTTGAATTGAAAGTTGTTTAGAGATAAGACAATACCGACAAGTTCAGTTACTTTTGAGATTCTGGTGGACTGGAAAGTTTTAGGGAAGTTTTTATAGTTTTAAGTCCTTCATCTGAGGAATATTAGTGTAAAGGGAAGAAACGTCCATTGTAAACAGAAGGCTGCTAGGAGGTAAGAGACGTGTATTTCCTTAATGATATTTATAAAGTGAGTCATGTCCGTTATGTAAGAAGAGAGGGTATGTTGTGGTCAACAAAATCAGAAAGCTTCTCAGTGATCATGTTTGTGTTAGAAATTATGGGATGGCTAGGATCATTAGATTTGTACATTCTTGACATGTTTGCTTGGGTGTTAGTTGCTGGAAAGTTTCTTTGTTAATTTTCTTGTTTTGGAAGAGTTCAAGTCTAGAACTGGTGGTTTTAATAAACTGAGTTGTAAGGTCCTTTGTGAGTTTCTTGTATAAATTAGCGTCCTTAATTTGGTGGTTACCTTCAGCGTTATAGTCATCTTTGTTAAAATATCAATAGCCTCATCCTGGTCCATTGGCTTATTTTATAATACTTTTGTTTGACTTTAGAGTAGTACTTTCTTTTTGATTCAGGTTATTGTTTATTGCTTGGAAGATTTTAAGGCTTGTATTATGTGATTTTCTTCAGCTTTAATTTAGCTCTCTGGATGTGGTTCTCTGTTTGGTGAAGGTGTCCAACGGGACTTTTCTTTGAAAGTGGAGTATGTAAGCGGTCAGTAAGGTGAGATTTGTTGTGAAAAAAATTCTTGAAATGTGAGTTTCCGAGAGAATTCGTGAAGATCGGAAAGAAGTTCGGGTTCATTAACAAAGTTCTTGTTTGGACAGAAGCTGAGATATTTACTAAAGAGTCAAAGTTGTTCATCTGAAAGTTACAATTGAAATATTAATTACGTTAGAAACATGGGGAATGGGTTGACTGTTACGTGCAGGATCTACAATGTATTTGTTTCTATTTAATCACATAGCTACACGATGGGCTATTTATGCTGTGCCCACCACGAGTGTCCACATTCGAATTATTGCGTTATAAGTCCACAGACTTACCGCTGACCCACTGAGACGTAGGGGGCAGGACCTATGAGATCACTATTATTATTTGCATATGCAACTCTTCTGACTGACACCGAAGAAAAAGACCCTCCTGTTGTTTAACACTTTAAACAACTCGGTCATTCTATTAGTGACGTGAGTCTCACAGGTATCAAAACTACAACTGATAGAAAACTGAAAAGAGCCTACTGGATTGTCACTTTACATGCTGTTCATCCTTATGAAATAAATTTAGATCCTGAAGTCGTTGACCTTCGACCATCAATTAGATTCCTGTCTGAGAAGTAAATTGTTCCCCTTTCCTGTGTCAGGTGTAAATTCTTTAATTATCTATTGATGACAATTTTGCATGTTTGTTTGTTTTTATCTATTTATTTATTTTTTTAGTTTTTTCTACGTAACATTTTCTTGTTAATTATTTTCATATATCTTATCTTTATTTTCCTTTATCATTATCCAGTATAGAATCGCTTCATATGTTTTAACAAAATCTTTCCAACCTATTTATATCTAACATTCTAGTTTCCTGTCGGAAATGAGCCACCTGCAACAGTCCTGTAAAAGCTAATCATATCACTGCCGTGTTGTCATGGTGGTCTAACATGATGTCACTCCACTTTTTATTTACACTTCTCTTTACTTAGTAACTCCGAATTTGTCCCTGATGAAAAATGATCCATATTTATAATGCGCTCGAATTATAGGGTTTCACATTTTTGTTTTTAGCTATTGGAATAGGTTGTTCATTTCAATTTCTCGCTGTTGTCGAACATAGACACAATAAAAATGGTTGGTTATTTTGCTTAACACAACTGCTTAAAGGACAAAACGCTTCTACAGGGGTCTAGTTTCTAAATCGTTATATTATTGTTATATTAAAGTTTCTCAACTAAACTTGGTATCATAAATAGTACGAAGTTTTAAAACATCATTGCTGGAACAAAGTATTTTCTTGATTCATTCTAGTCTAACTATTATTAGTTTCGACCCAAATGTTGTTTTCTCTTTTTTTCTGGATCAGGTTTATTTTTCACCTGGTCACAAGAAAAGTGGCGCGTCGTTATTGTGTGTGATGATTATAATAGTGCGCGTAAAACAAAATTTATAGCGTTTTGCAAACTTCATACATAGATATATTACGGTGAAAAAGAAATATTCGAGTTTCTTTCTTCCTGTTTTTTATCTGTTTTGGACAACAGTAGTTAAATAACCAGACTAGCTAAATAGACAGCAGTATTGTTGAGTAACTATATAGGCCTTCATGTGCAATAGAGTTAAATAACCAGACAAGCTAAATAGACAGCAGTATTGTTGAGTAACTATATAGGCCTTCATGTGCAATAGAGTTAAATAACTAGACTAGCTAAATAGACAGCAGCATTGTTGAATAACTTATAGGCCTTCGTGTGCAATAGAGTTAAATAACCAGACTAGCTAAATAGACAGCAGTATTGTTGAATAACTATATATGCCTTGATGTGCAATAGAGTTAAATAACCAGACTAGCTAAATAGACAGCAGTATTGTTGAGTAACTATATAGGCCTTGATGTGCAATAGAGATTAAATAACCAGACTAGCTAAATAGACAGCAGTATTGTTGAGTAACTATATAGGCCTTCGTGTGCAATAGAGTTAAATAACCAGACTAGCTAAATAGACAGCAGTATTGTTGAGTAACTATATAGGCCTTGATGTGCAATAGAGTTAAATAATCAGATTAGCTAAATAAACAGCATTATTGTTGAGTAACTATATAGGCCTTCATTTGCAATAGGAAAAAGTAATCATAACAAAACAAACAAATACTCTGGCAAATAAAACATGATCTAAAATGGGTTCTAATAGCACATATTACAACAGTTTAATCAAACATAAAAACTAAACACATTTCAATTTTTTTTTGTGTCTCTGTGTGTATAACACGCAACAGTATCCAGAGATACACCGACAAAACGTATCGTTGCTCTGTATTGTCTAATAATGTAGTTTTATGATTATATAACGTTATTTGTATGCAGAGTAACAAAATGTATTCGTATTACTATCACAAATTGTGAGCCAATTAGTTCTTAAACTATTATTATAATGTTTAGTGAGGATCCCACTCAACAGAATAATTGGTTAAAAAAGACAAATCCTTATTTTAACAATTACTCCGTTTCGATCTATAGCATCGGCTCATCATCACGTAAGAGTTATAATGAAAAGGGCAGTTGGATTTCAGAGAACGTTAGACTCGTGATGGCTAGTTTGTAAGTTACGTTGAAATATTTTTTAGTAGAATGAGGTAAAGAAAATATTAATCCAGATAAAGAGGGTTGGCTATGAAAACTTTATCAGTAGTGCTTCAGGTATTTTCATTCTGTTGATGTCTGTTTCTCTTCAGTTGATTTCAACAATGTTTTCAGTGATGATATGTCCAAAAACATGTGAGGGTCCTTTAAGATGTTCCTTAAGTCGGGTTTCACTTATCTCCCGGTTTCTCCGATATAAAAGTGTTTACATAAGTTGTATTTTGGAGTGAAAGCCTTTGCTATGTTCGTTGTTTTCTTTTTTGAATAAGTCTTATTTTATTCTATGTTGAGTGTTTAAGGTTCTATTTGATTTGATGGAGAATTCTTCAAGAAAGAAACGTCTAAAGAACAAAACTATACAAATCTTAAAGACAAGAACAATTTAAATTTCAGCTCCTTATGTTGTATACATCGACAAAAACTTGTCTTGGATTATGGAAATTACTCAGGAAGGAAAGAACTGTTAACAAGTTTTTTTTTTTCAGTAACACTAGAACCGAATGAACACACATACAACAACAACAGTTCTGTAGTTAGTTACAGAAGAACCTTACTTACGGAGAGAGTTATATCTCCTGATGATGTTTTCCAAGAAGGTGTTTTGGGGAGCAACAAGACCTCTTCTCCCAACCGGCATTATGTCATCACTAAAGGGTGGGCTCGTAAATCCTGGAGCTCAAGTCTGGAAACAGTAAATCTGGAGAGAATAGGTAGGTAGAGTATTTTGGAGCGTGACATAAAGTTTGTACATAATCAACGTTAGCACACTTCAAGCTCTTTCAAAAAAAGAAGCGTTCAGTATTGGTGCAGATCACCAGTGGACAAGGAAAATTAGGCCGTTCTAATAACTTTACAGAACATGGTATAACAGAAGTTAATATCAATAATAACTTTCTTTTTAAGTAACCTTTTTTGTAGATCCAGTTAAGTTCTAATTAGGTTCTATGCATAGTTAGTTCATCCTTTACAAAATATAAATCTATAGTCACTTAGAACTCTCCTGTCTTTTATTAAACATGAATCTGTTGTTACTCAGAACTTTTCTGTCTTTTATTAAACATGAATCTGTTGTTACTCAGAACATTCCTGTCTTTTATTAAACATGAGTCTATAATCACTCTCTTTTACTAACCACGAGTCTGTAGTCACTTAGAACTCTCCTTTCTTTTATTAAACATGAATCTGTTGTTACTCAGAACTTTTCTGTCTTTTATTAAACATGAGTCTATAATCACTCTCTTTTACTAACCACGAGTCTGTAGTCACTTAGAACTTTCCTGTCTTTTATTAAATATGAATTTGTTGTTACTCAGAACTTTCCTGTCTTTTATTAAACATGAATCTTTAGTTACTCAGGATTTTCTTGTCCTTTACTAACAACACATCTGTAGTTAATCAGGACTTTCCTATCCTTTACTAACCACACATCTGTAGTTAATCAGGACTTTCCTATCCTTTACTAACCACACATCTGTAGTTAATCAGGACTTTCTCGTCCTTGACTAAACACGAGTCAGTATTACTCAGAACTTTCCTGTCTTTTATTAAACATGAATCTTTAGTTACTCAGGATTTTCCTATCCTTTACTAACCACACATCTGTAGTTAATCAGGACTTTCTCGTCCTTGACTAAACACGAGTCAATATTACTCAGAACTTTCCTGTCTTTTATTAAACATGAATCTGTTGTTACTCAGAACTTTCTTGTCCTTTATTAACCATGAGTCTGTAGTTATTCAGCTCTTTCCAGTCTTTTACTAAACATGAATCTGTAATTACTCAAGGCTCTTTTTTTTGTCCTTTATTAAACATGAGTCTATAGTTACTTACGGCTTTTCAGTCTTTTACTAACCAGGTGTCTATAGTTATTCAGAGCTTTCCTGTCTTTTACTAACCATGAGTCTGTAGTTATTCAGGGATTTCCTGTCTATTAATAACCATGAATATATAGTTACTCAATACTTTTTATCCTTTACTAAACATGAACCTGTAGTTATTCAAGGCTTTCCTGTCCTTTACTAACCATGAGTCTCTAGTTATCCAACTCTTTTTTTCCTCTTTACTAACAACAAGTCTGTAGTTTCTCAGGGCTTTCCTGTCCTTTACTTAACATGAATTTGTAGTTTCTCGGGGCTTTCTTGTCCTTCAAAAAAACATGAGTGTCTACTTATTCGGCCTTGCCTGTCCTTTATTAACCATGAGTCTGCAGTTACTCAAGACTTTCCTGTACTATACTTTACATGAATTCGTAGTTACTCAAGGCTTTAATAACATTTACTAAACATGAACCTGTAGTTACACAGGGTTTTAATGTCCTTCACTAAACATGAACCTGTAGTTATTCAGGGCTTTACTAAACCTAACTCGATACATTGTATCGTCTTCAACCTCGAAGGTTTAGTCAAACCAATTACCTCCATAAGCATTAATCTACAAGCCTCTGTCGATTCCCTGACGCTGTCTCAGTTGTAAGCAAAGCTTATGTGAACGTCAGTGAGCCTGGAGACGAGAGTGCATCAAGGTTGTCGTGCATCTGGCTTGGTTTCACAAAGGTAGTGGGTGCGCACTCCTTACATTGCTCAACCGAAAACAATACGCACGCCTGTCGTCATGACAACCGTGGCGGCGGTCACACATGCCCTGGTCTAACTGTCTATTGAGTATTTTTTAACATTAATACCAGAGTAATAAATGACCTATGTTAAAGTAAGCCCTTGCATGATGTACTCACAATAATGAGGCATTTGAATAAAACGAAACTCTGGTGAACGTATGTATAGAATGGCTTATAAATGATAAGAGAAAAATATTTGAAAAATAACAAGAGTGGTAAAATTCTACATCACGATGAAAATGTTATAGGTATAATGTGTCATATCTTATAAACAAAAAACTTCGTTGGGTTTGAACCCAGATTGGTGGATAGTTTAATTTGTAGAACCACGTAGAACAAGTTTCACGAGCTACTGAATTAAAAATGAAAGAATTAGCTGAATTTTTCGTTGCACGCGTGTGTTCGAATCCTTATCATTCTTACACTTTTTCAAATATTAACATTTCATAGCTTGACCTGCAGCTTGTACAAACGTTTTTCCCACATTGTTTTCGTAGTTTAATATCTGGAAAGATGTATTTGGGTTAATAAATCCATTCTGGGCTACAGGTTAACGAGTAGTGCACTTCTATTTCTATCTGCCAAAACGTGATGACTGTGTTGATCACAGGAAAAGACTTCCTGACGGGGCTGCTGTTATTATTTCAAATAATCTTGGTTAAAACGTCAGAGAGAGAGAGAGAAAGGTCAAAGGTCATAGTGATCTCTTTCAACGAATCGATTTTAATATATTTTTTTCACTTCTGTGAGGTTTTAGGACGTGACAAATGAGAAAAACAAAAGAGATAATATTTTCAATTTCCAAGGCACTTATCGTTGAGCGGCCTTCTCCGTGTTTCTTTATATTTACACTTGTTTTTAATTTATTAATGAAAGTTAAAAATTAATTAATTACTAAAATGTCTTTCAACAATTATATTAATTATACTTCTCCAGTTTTTATTAATACAAATGTCTATAGTGTAGAGTGATGAGTGATAATGATCATTTATACGAGCGTAACTAAACCCAGTTGTTAAAAAAAAAGTCTTAGGGGATCTTTAAACGGTTGCTTAAGTTAGCAAAATACTAAAATTTTATAGGAGATAAAGTTAAGAAGAGTTTAAAAAATATATAGCGTAGAAAATAAGAGACATAGACAGCTTAGCTTTTAATAGTCTAGTTATTGATCGTCGAAAGTTTAATGAAGCTAAGATGAAATGTTAAATAGATGCACGTATTTTGAAGTAAAATTTTCGAATGCAAAAATATATATATATATTAATTTAAATACCCCATGAAGGTTATTTTCCCGAAACTTGAACTCTGGTTTCTTGCTTAAAATACTTTTAATTATTTAGATATTTTCCAAATGAAGTTCGTATAAATGCCACTTTAGGTCGTGGTTTCTTATACGAATGATAGTCAAATCTCATTATTCGGTCTGATAAGAGCAGTCCATGAGTTGGCAGTTGACAAGTCTTCCCTCTAGTCTATCGGTTTAAAATAATGGATAGCTCTTGGGTAGCTTGGCGGGAAAATTCAGAAACAAACAAAATCTAATGGCCCAGTGCGCATGACTGGCAAAAATAGTTTAAAACAGTCTGAATCGTATTTGTACTAACACATTCCATTCCACATGCAGCTGAGCGACAAAACAAAGTTATCAAGCGATGCCATTGATTGAAAGATATATCCTTTAATTTGAAATCAACTCTCTGATTGGTAAATATCTCCTTTAGTTTGAAATCAACTCTCTGATTGGTAAATATCTCCTTTAATTTGAAATCAACTCTCTGATTGGTAAATATCTCCTTTAGTTTGAAATCAACTCTCTGATTGGTAAATATCTCCTTTAGTTTGAAGTCAACTCTGATTGGTTCCTTCCAATTCTGATCGTATAAACAAAATTTACATAACTACATTTGACTTTTCTTGTCGTCAAAAGAAAGAGAGATACTTTTTTTGTTTTAAAGCAAAGCCACAACGGACTATCTGCAGTGTCCACCACGGGGAATTGAACCCCGGTTTTAAACGTTGTAAGCCTGTAGACTTACAGCTGTCACACCGGAGGACATGAGGGAGAAAGAAATGATAGTTCTCAACGTTTTAACTTTAACAGTCTGATACACCTTATCAGTTAATTATTTCAATAAAATAAATTAATAATATTTCAGAGTCTCATTAAACAGTTATGAAAAATGAAATATCTATCTATCTGTCTGCGTGTCTATCTAGTCCCCCTTTGGGACAGCGGTAAGTCTCCGGACTTACAATGCCAAAATCAGAGGTTCGATTCCCCTCGATGGTCACAGCAGATAGCCCGATGTGGCTTTGGTATAAGAAAAACACACACACACACACTGTCTATCTAACAGAATTATCCGTCTGGTGTCACAAGTCCTTGTGAGGAACTGGCTGGACATATTAGGGTTACATTTTGAACTTGAAGCTCGAGTTTAAAAGAATATAGAATCGAGCGAGTGGTTCGAGTTTGGCAGCAGTTTCAATTTTACCACTTTACTGCTGTGAAAGAAGACTCGTCCGAGGCGAAGAGGTTACCGACGGTAAACGATAATGATGCTTAAGGCGCGCATAACACAGGAAGTTTCACATCGGACAAAAGGTTCGTGAGCTATGGCTAAAATTATGAAAAGGAATGCCCACGCCCACATTCACAGAGTTATTATTTTAAGCCTGCCATTGCCGGGTTCTTGTAATAGTATATATCTGTGTGTGTACATAGTCAATTGGATGATAATGAACCGAATGGAACTCATCTCATAAATATCACAAGTCCTTGAAATTAAATTTGTATTTATTACAATACGTTTTAGTCAAAATGTTCCCCAGTATTCTTTACAGTTATTTAGACAAAACACGTGGTTTTTTGGTTTTGGTTTTTACAGAAACGTAAGTATTTCTCGATTAAAACGGGAAAAACTACAAATGACTAGTAGTATTCCAACAGTGTAGGGCGGGCGTGTCCTAGGAATTTGCGTGCCGGACTATGAATTTGAGGGTCCATGGTTCGTTTGACGTTGCCAGAAAAAAAATTGCTCTCCGTATTTTGGGCCGTGGATGCATTATAAGAATGACAGTCAATTTCCACTATTCAATCGGACAAGAGGAGCCCAACAGTTGGCGGTGGGTGCTGTTGACTAGCTGCTCTCCCTCTGATCTGTTAGGGCAGGCTAGCGCAGATAGACATTGTAGAGCTGTGCACGAATATCGGAAACCAACTCAAATCAGTCGATCAATGTGATAGATCAGTTATACAACGACATGCCATTGTTTGTAAAAATATTTTCTTTCATTTAAAAAAACCAAAACCAAAACACAATTTTGTCTATCTCGAGATGAAACATATAAAAATATTATATCTCTCTTTCAGTGAAAAAAAGCAATATTTTCTACCAATAAAATGTAAACTGCTCTCCCTCTCGACCAATCAGAGACACGATTTTTCTATGCTTATTTTTCATCCTGTTGCATATACCCTCAAACAACTACTCTACAAGAAACGTTGGCTTTGTTTAATATTTTTAGCTATTTATTTGACCAAATCGATGCCAGTGACGTAAGACATCGATTCTTATACCGCGTTAACTGTTTTGTTATGTTAAGTATTAGTCAGTTACTTGTATATGAAAATAAGTTCAAGGAAAAATCCAATATCGACCTTTCGCTTCTTGACAGAAATATTGAGGAAAATTTGGGCTTTGGTAAAACACCATTTAGCTGCTTATGTCTCGTTTTGAAAGGATAGCTTATAAAATAAATGCTAATTCTAAATAGCCGTCATAAATTTTCGTGATGTTGCGCGTAATATCAATTCGAATAACGTATTTTTTGTATTTTAACCACAACAAAAAAAGCTAAAGCGAGTTACCATCTAGAGAGAAAAGCCAAAGTTAAAAGAGACCTGTAGGAAATAAATCCCCACCTTCAAGAAAAGAGACCTATAGGAAATAAATCCCCACCTTCAACAAAAGAGACCAGTAGGAAATAAATCCCTACCTTCAACAAAAGAGACCTGTAGGAAATAAATCCCCACCTTCAACAAAAGAGACCTGTATGAAATAAATCCCCACCTCCAACAAAAGAGACCTGTAGGAAAGAAATCCCCACCTAAAAAAAAATCCTCCATAATACATAAGGATTACTTTTATTTGCAGTTTATTATAGCATTATTCTATGAGGAATAACGAACAATGATGCATGAAAACACCTAACTTTTAATGCTGATGATCTAACATTATATTTAATTACAGTATATTAATTTTACATTGATTACACAGACCTTCGAATTTAAACTTCATAAATATTGTTATGGTTTTAATAACAGATTTTCCATAATTCAGCTACGCAGATTTATAAAATAATAATATTATTTTTTCTATCTCGTAAGCATTTTTTATAAATCGGGAAGGAAAAAACTCTTACTTAGATCAAATTATTATTTCGTTTACCACAATGAACATTTTTTATTATTATGTTTGTTAACAAAA